AAACAATCAAATGTACAATAAAGCTATATATTCTTTAATATGTATAATAATTAAACACAATTAATCTTTGTTATAGCTACAAACTAGTTTTTCCTTGTGCCCAAATGCTTTAAACTTACTTAAAATAATTAAACAGGCCTTAAAAACACAAGCAATTAACCCTTTGACTGCCCGCTCTAACAAATGGTTGACCACGTTTTTACTGTTATAAATAATGACTGTTAAAGTCATTTAAAGACTGACTGTTTTAAATAATGGCTTACACACACACACACACACAAACACACACGCTTGCACGCACACACACACACAGGGATGATGAGTCCTCGTCTAACGCTCCTCTAATTAATGAAGCTAATTAATGAAGGAGTTGCTCAGCCCCGTCACAGGAAGAGTTCACTGAAGAAGACACGTTCGGCAACTGGACTTATACCAGTTACATCCAATTTGTTTCATAAAATGGTGACGTCAATGCATCTACTTGCACTTTTAAAATGATATGATACAGGTAATAATAATAATAATAATATTTTTTTAATTATAAAAGGTTTAATTGAATAATTTAGACTGGATAAAGACATGTGAGATTGTGAATGATGAATTATTATATGCACTGCTGCTGTTATGAGATTTCAGTCGACACAGAGTTCCAAATTTCCATCAAAATTTGCATGTTAAAAATAAATAAATACTGCCAAATACATTGACACACTGCTGCAGAAACTTTTGTGCATCATCATTTCTCTAATTTTCGCATCTATAGGAGGTGTTTCGACAAACGCAGTGACAAATGAATCCACTTCTTCACGCAGCACTTCATGACAAACAAATTGTGGAATACAAACACAATAGTAGCTTGTGTTTATTTTTTAACCTGCGAAAATGTCAGACAGTGCGCCATGAACTTAAGAGTGATGATTTTTTAGGTATAACAAATAAAATAATTTGATCAAACACATAAAAATTCTTACTTAAGATCAAATAATTTTAGGATAATTAAAATACATACAAAAATTTTGGACTACAATAAACAATGGTGACGAAATGTTATAAATTTAACAAATGCGGAAAAAAAAACATTCAAAATTTCTGACTTTATGGAAAGAACTGAAAGTTGACCCTTTTTTTAGAATAGCAAATACGAACATATACATATGAACATTTCAAACTGTGCGATGAACTTAAGTGACAAATTTTTAGTGTAGCAAATACGAAAACATGCATATGAAAAATTCGGCTCAGTGCGTAAAAAATGTAAAGGT